TTGAACCCTAGTGATACAGCTCAGGTCAACAGGGATGTCAAAAACCTAATCTCTGATAATTGCTGTGGTGTAGCTCTGGAGTCAGTCTGTTGCCATGTGTTGTGATAGTTTTAGCTAGTAAGGGTGCTTCCCGTTGGAACTTGCCGCTTTCCATTTAGTACATTTGTTGTCGGCTGCAGATATCCCCCGACAACCTTCAAAATTCAAGTATTCCAAGTCTTAAGTAAACATAATCTAGCCTACCAAAAGAAGGTAAAACGAGAGTCAATATTTTAGCACCAACTAACTCTAAGCTAAAATATTGAATTTTGTCGAAGTTGCCTGTTACAGGCAATGTACCAGCAAAGCCCAATGCATCATTTCTAGTAGTAATAATTACCTGCTAGAGGGTGGGAGGTACTGAGTTTCAGCGTAGCTGCAGTAGCTCCAGATCCTGAGTCAGGGGAAGTGTGTGGAGGAGGAAGGGAGGGAGGAGGAACACTCCATGGCTGGGGATGCTGCTCTAACACCTCACGAGCAACATCTTCTCGAGCCACAGTTTTATTTCTCAGTGCCATGGCCACATGGGACCAAGTGCAATCTCCTGTTCCTCCGTATCTATTGAGCCATTCAATGATGACCTTACGCAGCTTGTCGTCATTGTTTCTGTTCTCGGAGTCAATATTATCCAGAGTTGACTCAGAAAGGCGGAAGGCTCCTCCAATGTTACGCCACTTCTCTCGTGCTTCATACAACATCTCAAGAATATCTTGAGTATTGTCAAGTGTCAGTGTATAGGTTGTGTTAGGAGCTGAAGTATTGTTAGCAGGCTCGTTTGGTCTTGCAGTATTAGTAGCAGTTTCACATTCTTGAAGAACACTGGGAGGAGCCTGAGTGGATTCTAACTGCCCTGGCTCAGTCTCTACTACTGCCTTGGAGATACTGACCCCTGCAGAATATCACAGAGTTATTGCATGTGATGTCATCTGGGGAAAGCACCATTAAGTCAACATACCTTGTCACATCACTGTAACCACATGCATCATGGACTTATTAGGTAGCCATAGTTACACAGCCATACAATAGGTTAAGATTTGTGCTGCCTATCGTGCACACTGGTTTTTCCTATACTTTATTGACATTTAATGCCAATTAGACGAAGTTAATTGGGTGACACTGTAGCAATGAGGCAAGGTAGGTTGCTGACGATTATAGGGCAAGATTCCCTCCCCTCATGTTAATAGAGGCATGCGCAATGCGCACACGGTACTGTGAAGTGCGCAGTACACCCGTGGCAGTGCACATGACCACGTGGCATTATGGAAGTGCAAGAAAGCAGCTGATGGCAAGGCAAGTCTCAGTTGGGTAAGGCACTTCTAACTCGCTGTTTACTACTCTCTCAACATTTCCTTTGATGGCAGACGACAGCCCATCTGCTACTCATCACGAATAACACTGCAACCCTGAGGTCGGTTTGCATGGACTTAGAAGCCACTCCCCCTCCGCAACTTCCGGCTTCTTAGGCAGGGGACCCTAGCTAGGTGTGAAAAATGACTCTGGCGGCTCTGAGGACAAAACAATGTAGCCCACGTCGAATATAACTATTAATAGCCTGCAAAGTGCATTGGGAACAGGGTTACATATTTCATGGTTAATTTTACCCTCTGTGCACTCCTCTCCCCCTATAAGATCCCCAAATTCTGCGCCTAAGTAACTCTTCCACAGCTCCTATGAATTCACTGCAGAGCTACATACACTCCCTGAGGCCTCTTTCCCAGCAATGAGCAGGGAATTAGTTTAGGAACTGAACGCAGGCCAAAAGACTTTATCAATGAATGTGGTGCACTCCAAAGACAGGCCCAGTAAGCACTGATATGAGGGGTAAACTGGAACTGCTCTGTAAGCCTCCTGGGTGTCTACTTTAGCCATCCGGCAACCGACAACAACTTTCTGTCATCACACTCACGGTATCGTCCACCAATGTGTAAGATACAAAACAGGGGTCTGCTGGGGTGGCTTCATTGATGCTGTAGCCCTCGGGCGATGAAAGGTCAACAATTAGGTGCCATTTGTTGGGCTTAAGCTTTTGGGGAAAGGCCCCAAAGGGGCTCACCTGCAAGAGTTGTAGGGTAAGCCTAGTTGAGGTAGGGACGACCTGAATGCAACCCAGCTGAACCTTCTGTTTTAAGTGATCGGTTATTACCCGTGGGTTGTCGTAGTCTAACTTCAGGTTGCGATGCGCTGGTCCAGCTGTGAGCCATGCCTAAACCAAATTCGAAAACCATTGGCTATGCCCTGATAAGTATGTAGTTTGTCCGGGATTGAGAGCTCATACGTGTGTGACACTGGTTAAGTCATGCATGACACAGGTCATCCTGCATTATACCATACATGGTGCACTGATGTAATGTGAATGACAACAAAACGTCAGCGATAGCTTAAGGCCACTAATGTTACTTTTTTATGGGCTTATGCCTAAAAATATATTGCACAGCATGCATGTGAATGCGGTAAAAAAAGGAAAGGAGACAAGTAAGTAAAAAATTGTTCCGATGCCATAAAAAGCAAGGAGACAAGACAGGGATGACCTAGTGCATTAGTACAATGGTATGATGGTTACATTTTCAAACTGACATTTCTTGCTCGTGTAAACTCCACACAAGCCCCATATGCACAGGTGATCTCTATTGTTTGATGTGCAGCTATGACTAGTTTCCTATGCACTCAAGACTGGTAGCAAATGCCCTCTCTGACAGGACCTCAGTTTTGAATCGTGAGTGTATTTACTTCAATGTTCGCTCAACTAACCAGTTTTACAATGCTGCTTTCTCTACAGAATTCCTTTGCCAGTCTTCACACTACATTATTCAAAACTCATGTCATGAGTAACAGTGGCAACAATGTAGGGCTTGTGTGGAGTAAACTTTACACAGAAGATGTAACCATAACTTGGTACGCATGCATATTACATCATGTGCATGACAACTACATGTTTCCATGACCACTACATGCTCGTAACAACATTCTTGAAAATTGCTTCTTAAATCCTCAAACTTGTTAACGGTAGCACACATGGAGATGAAACTTGGTACGCATGCATAATATTACACCATTTCAATGACGACCACATTGTTTGAACAAAAAATAGCTTCAGGCATTTTACTTCTTCTGTACCACACATCGAGATGAAACTTGGTATGCATGCTTAACAACGTTTCCATGACAACCACATATTGTTTAGCTTTAGGCATTAAAAATTACTTCTTCAGCACGCAAGGAGATGAGACTTGGTACGCATGCTTTCCACGACGACCACTTGTTGCAACAGGCATACAACATTATTATAGGGGGCTTGCCCCCTTCCACAGAGATATACAGTAGTTGTATATAAAAATGAGTGGAGACAAGTTAATTAAAAATCCAGTGAATAAAAAAAAAGAAGGCATATAGGGATGGTATAAAAAGAAGGAAGACAAGATAGGGATGGGATACATGAAGCACGGTGATTTTTAGCATGCTGAAACCCCGACCCCATCACACAATCCCTATATTGTTGTCTAGGTTAATAAACATTCAACATTACAATAGTCACGCCTTACGCGTAGCTTGAAAATACAAAAAAGTCATGCTGAGTAACCAAGAGTCCAAATGGAGTTTACCAGTGGTACACCAGGCAACAATGTAGGGATTGTGTGATGGGGTCGGGGGTGTCAGCATGCTCAAAATCCTATCCCCATCTTGTCTCTTTTTCTCTTTATACCATCCCTATATGCCTTTTTAAATTCGCAGGATTCTTAATTTACTTGTTCTGGGTTTAAAGGTCTGTAATATTAAAAGATCATTCCATGTTACTTCTTTACTTTATTGTGGTTTGAAAATCGATTACACCTAAGGAGGTGTCACCTAATGCACATTGCATCATGTACACGAGAGCATTAAATGGGCACACTCTTTGACTCTGACTAATTACTATACATAACACAACCAGAAGAGGTACTCATTGGTCCAACCATCTTGGGCCTGGATAGTTTCCAGGCGGTACTGGGACTATACAATACACTCCTCTACTAGCAGAGATTGGGTCACAGGGCTGCAAAACAGTGGAACTTATCATTTTATAGATCACTTCCAATCTTCCCCACAAACAAGGAGATAATTCATTCTGTCTCCCGTAGCAGCATTCTCTCACATATGTAGCAGTTAGTGAGGTTGTTTGACCAAGTATCCTGCCCAAGAAGTGACCTTAGACTTTCCCCACTTTGATATTTTCCTCCCTAGCCCTCCCACACAATTAGAGGAAAAGCGTCTAGGGGTCGACACTAGCCCTGTTGCTTACACAGATGAAAAGTACTGAAGAGAAACCCTCGGCAAACTGCGCAAGTGCTATACAGCTAATTGATGGGGTGGGCTGTAGCATGCGTTTCCCGCTAGTAGCTCTCGGAGACTCCGACACGGGCTAGCTACAGTAGTAGAAAGCATGCGGTAGTCGATACATACCCTCCGTTGAGACTTCTTGAGCCTCCAAGGTACGCAGAGCAAGCACATCTTGTCGAGGTAAGCCTGTGCTAATTTGCATATTGGCTTGTTTACTTGCTTTTCATGCCATAACTTTCGAACACAGTATTTTTACAAAATCAAGCCAGTGTAGCGCTGAACTTATTGGCATAGCTTATTGGCAGAAAACGTGGTAACAGGCACAAACACACAACAACTGTAACCCTCGCTGCGCATGCGCGGACGAGGGGAATGGGGGTCTGGGATGGACAGAGCTAGCTTTTACCAGTAATACACCTATACTTCAACCACACCAAGCACATCCGCCCTGTGGGTGGGACTGAAACTCCGTTCTCCAGCCAAGCGCTCTCCCCACTTAACTACCAGGGCAGCGCAACAGGCACAAGTAAAAGCCTATTTACGTTACCCGTTTAAGTTTACCATGAGAGGGTGTAGCCCCTTTTGTAACTGCGTGTGCCGCGCCTTCTACCTCCGCCTTTTCCTTCTCCGAAGAGGGCTTATCATCTGAGCGCCTCTTTCTCCATCCTAAGAGCTCTGAAGGGGGCTTGCCGTCTTTGCGCCGCAATCGGCTTTGCCTGGTTCCCATTTTGAGTAACTCGCTCTTGATCTTACGAGGAAGGGGGTCGTCCCCCCTTCCGATTTCCGCCACATGCGCGTGCGTAGACACAGCTAGCTGAGAGAAAGGCTTGTGCTACTGCTTCCCAGTTATACAGCTCGTCTCTTTGGAAATGACAAGCGCAACTGGATGGTCGTGGGGCAGTGCTTGGGGAGACGATGCACTGGATGACCAGGAGGATGAGGCCGGAGGAAGGGTAAAAAACGTTTGGTACGCATGCGCAGTAGGTGTTGACGTGTATATTATATACGTTCTTTCTGCATGTAACCGGTATCAGGATTATGTCTTTCTTATGTCACCTACAGAGTTTTCACTTGCAAAATGAAGAGAATCAAACCTTAGTCCCGGTCCTAGTCCAGCCCTAGCACCTATCCTAATCCTTCACCACTAGGCTCATATCCTCTCAAAAACAGTTTGCCCTCTTTTTAAGTAAAGGGAATGTGTCAGTACATAAGGTGAAGATAGCCTAGTGCAAGAATGCAATTAAGAGTCTGTTTTTTTTACAGTTTAGCCCTGCCACATTCCCTTTTCTGGGGCATGCCTGGACTAGAGTCAATTGGTGTTTAATAGTAAACATTCCATTTATTTTCTCTGGATTCCATATTAGGTTTACGCCTCTTCTAAGGACTGCCTGGTGCTGTTATTGGATGCTGGCAAGCAGATGTTCCAGGGTGGTGGACAGCCGGAAGATGTACCATTTGCACTGTGTCTTAAGGTTTGCAAGTGTGTCTACTTCGATAGTTCTGCCGATGTATGAAGCTTTCCAGTCTCTTTGGAGGTGATAGCAACTTACAAAATTTGTATCAAGAGTATACTTCTCTCTTGTGGGTAATGAACTGCGAACCCCCGGGGCACTAGAAATGCATAAGTGAGCGCATCAAGTAAAAATAGGGGTTATGACACACAGGGACAAGTTTGAGTTTGTGAATGAATTATGTAGTACAATGAATAGAGAATTTGCACGTGCGATATGCGACGATTGGCCACACCAGAACCGCGCCACAGCATTACACGCAATGTGCATTGCGCTGTATGTTCACCTCCACTCGTGTATGGCTTGTGCTAATTTTACCATTTTCTCAGAACCTGTTTATTATAATAATTATTGTTATTGCACTTTTATGAGGACACAGGTCAGAACCGTTAATTGATGTGCTATTGTGCTCCCTCACTAGTTTCTGAGTGCCTGACGTAGGCTAGTTTGATACCAACGTGGTAGAGTGACCGAGTGGTAATTTGCATATTTGGTTGACTTGGTTTTGACACCGTAACTTTTTTGAACGCAGTGTGATTATGAGGTTCTTCAAATTAAAAAATTAAGCCAGTGTACTGCTAAATAATTTAGTTTCACTTTTTGGCAGGCCTGTTGCACGTGGTCCAAGAAAACGTGGTAGCTGACAGACACACACACTTGTAAACCAGGTACCGTAACCCTCGCTGGGCATGTGCACAGAGGGTTTTAATGAAAAATAATTTTGCTTCACCAATAACAAAGTGTAGTTTGTTTCTCATTGCTGTTATAATGAAAAGCACTAAAGTGCAAAACCCTCGGTGGCGTGGAACCACGTATGTGGTTTGGGCTATGTGTCACATGCGTGGCTCCATGCCGCCGAGACTGTTGTGTCATACTGCGGAGATCTTCAGGCGCCTATCGCGCTCTCCATCGGTCAGCCCCCTCTGCCTACAACGCTCGGAATGTAGACGAGTGCTGATTGCCAGCTCAAATAAGTATTTGCACCAGAAACGACAAGAAATATCCTCGAGCGCTGCCCTCAAACCATGGCCGCTCAACGGTGCCATTTACGGTGAAAAACACGTGATAATTGTGCGCAACCCGCCAGTGTAACACACGCATGTGTTTATTTCTTGCTTCCTTGAAGTAAGCGAATACTAATTAGCACATTGGCTTGTTAACTTGCTTTTCACGTCATAACTTTTGAACGCCGTAGTTATACGAAAATCGTCTTTTTTAAATTTACCCAGTGTAGCGATGAACCTGTTGGTATCGCTCTTTCGTTGTCTCGTTGCGCGTGGCTGCAGAAAACGTGGTAACAGACAGAGAGACAAACTTACCGACCAAGTACAGTAACCCTCGCAGCGCATGCGCACCGAGGGTTAATGAAAAGCACTGAAGTGCAAGCCCTTGGTTCACTGTGCATGCATGGTACCACTAATTGATGGACTTGGCTATTACTATGCGTTTACTTGTGGTCTCCTGCTAGTAGCTTGCGCAGAGTCTGACAGACGATGGTAGCCAGTGTAATAGATGGCCACGAAAAACGGTTTTATGGGGAGCCTTTCTGCTAAGTAGTCACTTCACATCACACATCTTTAGTTGTGACCGTAACACGTGAAAACCAGACATAAGTCAGCCAAAATGTTTTGGAGATTTCACAACATTTCGAATGAGCGACCCTGTTGCAAATTGGTCGTGGATAGCCTGTTCCGTTACAGAGATAGAGATGTTTTTGTAGTGGGCATACGGAAACCTTCAAATGAGAAAAACGCCGTGCGTTGTGCGTAGATCAATTTTCCGTATACGCGCTCCGTTACACGTTGCCGGGTGAAAACATGCCTAGATAAAACTGTTTAATCTAGGCATGTTCTTTTCTACATTTATTTTTCTTCCTATGTGTGATAGATTTTTTTTTCGAAATAAGGGAAGCTCTTTGTTTTCTGACTAGCTACGTATGTATATCAGAATGACCCCAGGTACATGTGCTGCATTGTGGTAGGCTGCTCCCTAATCCTCTCACAACTAGCCATGAACCATGTGGACAGTGTTCTAGTATAATTATGTAGAGTTTACAAGCCCGTAAGGGACGGGGTTACCTCAGATTAATTAGTCTGTGCATCTTGTGCCTTGAATAGGAGTATTGTTTTGTTGTGATCTCTGTCCCATTTTACAGTGTGTGAAAAGTGTGTTGCTGAACAAGATCATCAGTAGTGAAAAAGACTTGGTTGGAGTTGTCCTCTATGGAACTGTAAGTACCTCTTCAGTTGCCACTGCACACATGTTCTGGCAGGCATGGCAGATATAAGTTTTGCTGTACTGTAAGGTTTTGATCTGTATGCATCACGTAGGCACTCTTTCATGGGTATGCACAATTATTACGTAAACTATTGAGTGGGCAGGAATATTTACATAGCTACTGTCACATAAAAAGACGGAATGATATACACACCTTCTGCCCTCATGCTGTATACACCAGCCAAATCCCTCAGTAATGGTGTTATATTACAATATTCTTGGAGTGTAACATTTTAGGGATGTGCATGTTCTGTTATAGCCCTCTTTTCTCTCACTTCTCTTCTTACATAAGTGTGTGCTGTTTTATTGTCATCGTACCTATATGGGGCTTTGATAAGGAATCTAGTTTATCATCTTATTTAAGTCTAAAAGCTAAAAAATGAAACAACATAGAATAATAGAATAAGAAATCTAGAGATATAAGATATAACAAGACACAAGATGGTAAGAGCTATGCGAATGAATAACGATAAATGTTTGTAAACAACAACAAATAGCTATTTCCGTTACACTGTTTATCATTGTAACTGGCTAATGGTGATTCAATTATGAATATGAAACTTCGCACACAGTGTGTATTGCAACTTCCCTTATGACACTTGATTCAATTATCAGTAATAGCCTCAGGTATAACATTTCTTTAATCACTTCTTCACTTCTTTACTCCTCAAACTTGCTAAAACAGCACATATAGAGGTGAAACTTGGTACGTATATGTACGTACACATCTGAGTATATATTTGTTGATTTGCAGGCAAAGAGTCAGAACAAAAGTGACTTCAAGCATGTATATGTACTACAGGTTTGTTCTAATTAAGTATGTAATACGTACACAGACAGGCAAAGTAAATGACATTATTTTCTCAGTGTACTCTATTTGTGTATGATGGTTTTTAGATATTGCTAAAAGGTATGGTAGAACTTGGATGTTTCAGTAGCATCATGGATGTATTGGCCTGGTATGGGTAGTTGGCTTGTTACATTTTTCTTGTTATTAGTTCATACAACATACTGTAAAATTCCATTAAGCATCCCTAACTGTGTATCCAGAAAACCACAACTTACCAGGAATCTCAAATGTCCATACAGCCCTGACTACAATTGTGTTAGGCCACATGTATATACCTCACTGCCTGCCCTAAGGTGCATTCGCCCCAATTTTTGCTCTTCAAGCCATCCAAGGGGGGGGGGGGGCTTGAACAGTATGTAACGGTGATGTGTCAACAAACGAAGAGCAGGACAGCTCTTTTTTCAAAGGAAAACCTAGCTGCCCTGTGTGGGATTCAAACCCATGACACTGCTTTCTTTCTGACCTGAACAAACTGGTCACAAAAAACACAGCAATACATTGGCAAAACAAGTAAGAGCTTTGTAAATGTGCCTCTTATGTCACGATTTTGTTTGAAACTTGGTACGCATTATGCCCTCTGTTGTAACTTCCGATGCCTCCAAGGTACAAAAAGAGGCAGAATGCAGTCAAAGTAAGCCAGTAGTAATTTGCGCAATGGCTTGTTCACTTAAAACTGCCTTTTTAAAAATGAAGCCGGTGTAGAAATGAACCCGTTACTATCGCTCTGGCAAATTTCTACACGTTGTGGCAGAAACAGGTAACAAACAGACTGTTATGTCATAGGCTTGGGGTTGTCAAAGCGCATCACAATATGTACATACTGTACATCTAACGTATCTGATTCCTATCTTGTCTCCCTTTCTTTCTATACATTATTTATAGAGTTTTATTAATGTTTTATGTGTAGGACCTTGACACTCCCGATGCACCAAGAATTAAGGAAATCGAGGATATGTTGAGTGGTAGGTTTAAAGAGAGACGTCATATTTTTGTAATGCACTGGGACTAGTCCACATGTTTACTTTAGGAACAAAATGCACAAAAAAAGATGTGCTGAAGTAAATTATATGTAGCACGTTTACACAACTTTCAGCATGTGTGGAATTTCATTCGTGTGCAATTAGGCCGCATGTTGTGGGGACTTTGTCTCATCAAATGTGTGTTCTATACATGTTCATAGGTCGGGTAAGGTCATACAAATGTGTGTAGAAATGTGCGTTTGGTAATTGAGCTCAACATACGTACCATAACGCATAGCTCTCTTACTATCAGCCATTTGACAAAAAGCTAATCGGATTAGGGTAAAATGTTGGTATTATACGTACATACTTCAGGGTTTGTTTAATCTACATGTAGCTCAGAGCTTGCAAAACCTCTCTGCGAGTTTTGGACATTCTGATGACTACTCAATGTCTGATGTCTTGTGGACTTGCTCTAATATGCTAAGTGACAGGTATATTATTATGTACATTAATATTTTATCTGGCATACTATATAGGTTAACAAGATGTGTGTAGTAGATGCATGTGTTATAATTATTAATCAGTTGGCAAATTATTATTTCCAGCTAAATATGTTGTGTGTTTTTCTTAGTGTCTCAAAGAACAGTCACAAGAGGATTATTCTCTTCACAAATCAACGATAACCCACATAGAACAAACCCCTCACTACAGGTATACTATGCTCTTAGCTAAGAAGTATGGTACGAACACCATTTTTATTGAAAGTACAAGATCCAGAACAGGACAATGATTTTGTGTTTGTAAGACAGGATTTTAATTTGCCTGATTTCATAATGTAGTACTTTCAGCACATCATGAAGTGCAACTCGTTTCCTTTTTTAAGCGTCAAGCAAAGACCAAAGCACAGGACCTGGCAGAGAATGGTGTTGAGATTGAGCTGATGCACATTGGACACTCATTTGATGTCTCCTTGTTCTATAGGGTCAGTTATGAGTGATACCATCTTGTGTGTTATGTACGTCAATACTCTGGTGATACACACTACGTGTAGCTCTCATTTTGCAATGCAAAAAAAGAATCAATTTTGTGAAAGTATAGTTTATACCTCATTTGAAAGTTATGATGTGAGAAGCAATAAATGCAGATAAGCAGTGGCTTTTACACCAGACCTTACTACAGGTATAGCTGTGAGAGAGCAATAACTGAGTAGCTGGATGGACATCTATAATATTCGTGTGCAAGTTTATTCAAACACACCTTAAGGTCTTTTTAATTGGCGAGCGAAGCGAGCCTACCTTTAATGCACTGTCTGTTCTGGTAAGACTCTTCAATCCTAGCAGTCTAGGGGGTGAACGTCTAAGGAGGTCACGTGATGGTCTACCTTTAATGCTGGAATTTTCAATATATATTCTAAATATGCGTAAAACACGTGTGTGTGTGTGTGTGGTGTGTGTTGGGTGTGTGGGTGTGGGTGTGTGTGGTGTTCATTAGGAAGGTGTGTGGTGTTTGCACAATACAGTACTGGTAATCTCAGTGCCCCATAAAGAAGTCTCTATCTTCCAAGAACTATTGCGATTATACAACCCACCCGAGGTAATAGGGTAAAGAGCATAAGTACAGTGCAATGGTTCGACTTTATGCAGGAATGGTTATCACTTTGGGTGGAAGATTTTGTTGGAGACAAAGTAAATTAACAATCCTGTGAATTTATAACAAGTGGCATATAGGGATGGTAAGGGAGACAAGATAGGGATGGGATACGTGAAGCATGGTTAATGAACAGATTTGAGCATGCTGGACACCCCCAACCACATCACACAATCCCTATATTGTTGCCTAGGTGAAGTATTAAACATTCACCATTACATATACTCAAAACTTATAATACAAAAAGTCAGTCTACTGAGTAACCCAAAATGGAGTTTACGAGTGGCACACCAGGCAACAATACATAGGGATTGTGTGATGGGGTTGGGGGTGTCGGCATGCTCAAATCTGTTCATTAATCATGCTTCATGTATCCCATCTCTATCTTGTCTCCCTTTCTTATTATATATCCCTCTTTTCTTTTTTTTTTGCAGGATTTTTAATTTACTTGTATACTAAGTACAACCGTATTTGTGATGAAAGTACATGTAAATAAGCGAATAAGCGCTGGCACGGATTCCCTAATGGTATGGATTTGGCTAATGCATTTTACGTGTACATAGCCTTTGTTGACTCTCTGAATGGTGTGTTAGCATTTGTGTGCATTTAACCAAGGTTGTAGGTTTACAGTGTTAAACTAATGCACCCGTGGCCGAAGTTGCTGCACACGTTGTAGTCAGGAACTTCCAGGACATGGACACAAACATGCTGTTTTTGCTTGTAAAGTGGCTATCAGACATATTCACCTCAGGCATTGCTTTGAGCACTCACTGCCAACACAGGGCTTGACACTGGTACACATGTGACCCATTGAAATCTGTGTTTGTGAGCCTGTGTGCAGCAACAGTAGTCCATAGACAGCCTTGACTATAATCCACATATACGTACCCGAAAACATTCAATGCCAGTGAGACTATCACGTTCTGCATTAATTGCATTACAAAAAGAATGAAAGTGAAACACTAAGAAAAAGGAGACGCAAATCTTTGCAGGAGAAAAAAGCCAACGTCCTATGTGTGAGAGGTGCATATTAGCCATGGCTTGTTGGCTTCACCAACTTCGATTCTTTGAATCCTGAAGTACAGACAGTCACCTTTCAGGTACTGGCAGTTGACCTCCGACCTCACGCCAGCACCAAGCAACTTATGGCTGATAAACTGAGGCCACCCTCTCCCTGTACCGCTCACAACAGACGTAACACGACTGTTGCACTCATCATTTTGCTGACTATCAAATTGTATGGTGCCCATGTGATGATGACTGTCTTGTATCTGGTTGAGCAGTTCAACTGTAATTTTCCCCTGGAATGGCCACACCAGCTCTTCATCATAGTCACCTTGCATGAGGCAAATAAAAAGGGAGACATGTGTTCCATGGCTAGCGCCTATACCGTTTGCATCGACACGTAAACACAGTTTGTAGCCCTTGGAATGTGAGAGGAAGGGATTGCTGTACCAGCATCGGCTGTTCATGCGATGATCGTCAAAGTGTGGCATGCGGAGCACTGCTACTGGTTGGGCTGGTTGCATCTTGGACTTCATCGCACGTATTGTGAATTGGAGCTCCATCTGTGTCTTCTTCATTTTCTGAATTGTGTCCAGTGCACAGGCAAAGTGATACCCCATCTTTTCAACATTGTGCGAGGCCTGATTTTCTCTCGGAATTTTCGCACGACATCCCACATCATAGTACATGCAGTGTTTCACTTCTTTGGGGCAGGCTGGGGAATGAACGTCGAGGTAGCTTCTTAGGGAGCCCAGCCACGCACACCCTCTCGCTGAGTTGCTGCATTTTACTGCCAGCTTCATTATTTTGTTGTGGCTCTCGACATGAAAGCAACTGAAGGCTACTCTACGGCAGTTGGGGCATTTGTTGGACTTCTTGCGCAATTCCTCGAGGCATGACCGACAGTATATTGTCTGGCAGCATTTCATCTGGTGCGGCTCACAGGAAGGGAAGCTGCAGATTAGGCAGATCAAACTGCTCTGTATGGGTTCAGCAAATTGCAGGTCGTATCCACCAATCTGAGAAGGAGTGATGGTTGTGGGAGTGTGGTAGCTGGTCATACTGCCTTTTACCTGTGGTGATTCACAGATGCATGTAATCTCTCCGGTATGCACCCGTTTTCATTGCCTATTCAGAAACCAAGCCCACTGAGCATGGACCGATAATTCCTGATACTCTTGCTGCAAATGAAGCCTTTTTAGGTGCATCTGTGTTACCATACCTTGAGATGTCTACTTTAGCTGCTTCCCTCTCACCCTTTTCCTTCATCATCGTACACCATGGCTAAACATTGTATGTATGTGTGTTATTTACTTCTTTGTGACCTTCAGCAGGCCTCAAAAGCTCACAATAACACCTATCAAAATGTTTCAATTTTTGGCCTGTATATAAGCAAGTACTGTATCGCTGTATTGCTGCACAACGGTGGGTAATATGTACGTACACTACGGCAACTTACTGAAAGAAGAAAGCGTTGACAATTTGCGTCTTCCAAGACTCAATGTCTGTTGTTTTGACACAGCCTCTCTAACTGTGAACACTGCCCTACTGCGTAGATAGCAGTATTAGTCGTCAGTTTATTCGTGCATTGATGCCTCACAGATAGTCTTTTCTGTTTGCCCCCAAACACTCAGCTCCATAGAACCTGTAGCCGTACAAATAACGAGAGGATGTGAATGTAGTGGAACAGTGTTAGCACTGGGAGAACACACCGAGTATTGTCTACTGATAATTGCATCATTATTCTAGTGTATGTACTAGTGGATTTTGGGAGGTATACTGACGCCAGATTTTGAGTTACACTCAATAGACCGTCTACCCGTCTGTGTATCCAATGCAAATATAGAGTTGGCAAAATTATCCTCAATCAGGTGTTGGGATTCACAATGTACAGTGTAGGTAGCACTTCTTGTATCCTCTGTATTAGGATATAATATATGTGGATGATGACGATGCTACAACCTTACCTGATCCCTCTGAGAATTTCGAAGAACTGCTAATAAGGTTTGCACATTTCACATGTAAATCCAGGCCCTGTTAATATTTTCTTGCTAATCTACACTTATCCTCCCCTCAAGAGTTAACGTGTAAAGGTACATTGTATTATTAGGGTGCGCTCAAAGGAAGTGAAAAAGAGGGCGCTGCAACGAATACCTTTGTCCCTTGGACCTGGTCTGGAGATTGGAGTTGGAGTGTGAGTTTATGGTGTTGCATTGTGTGAAGTGAAGCTTGGATGTTCAAACCTTGGAATATATTATATAATACCTTAGTGTGACAATATACTTAACTTTGCGGTTTTGCTGACCTTGACATTTAGCAGATATAAAAAAATGTATGCAAATTCGAGATGACAATTACTGCTGAAATCATGAAAGTATGTAATATTAGTCAAGACATAAGTGACTGTTACGTAAACTTACTATACTAGTGGCAGCAAAAGGCTCCCTGACTCTCAGCACATATTATATGTAGCTGAATGGCCTTCGGCCCTAATGAGCTGTAATATAGTGCACGTTTTTACAAATGCGATTTGCCATCGCAAAATTTGCATTATATATATAGTATCTGTAAAAAAATAGTCACACTGTGCATAGTATTGAAATAACAGAGACATCACCAACATCATTCACAGTCCACTTTTACTGAGACACAAACCCACCTGTGTTTTGACTACTGAATTCCTCCACATCAAATCGCCTGCTATTGCAAAAGGTGTTGCCTCTTGTTGGTAAAATGTTCTGGTTGAAAAAAGCAAGAATGGTGGGATTGATGGAACTATTTTCTGTGTTATCTTGACCTACCATCTCTACAGTTAGGAACAGTGTGTGTGGCAGGTAATAATATGCTTCCTATCCTTCACCATAAAGGTACTGTCTAGTGCGGGAGGCTAAAAAGCCAAGTTTTGTGCGTCTTGATCAGAGATCAAATGAAGAGTTAAAGACTCAAACAAGGCATATCTGTGAGGTAAACATAATCACCTTTTACTTGTGATACTACTGGACATACAGGTATATATATCCCAGAGTGCAATAAAAAGATTTTTGTGTATTCTCTTGTTATTATTCTCCGATTTGTTCACTGATTGCATGGCTGCACTTGCTTTCCTTGTAGCTAAGGACATTCAAACTACCTCTTGAGACTACAAGTGTTTCTGCTGCCAAGTTTGACATAATTTGAATCATTTTCTGTCTTTATTTCAAAGCACTAAAGTGCAAACTTATAGGCTCACTAAGAATGTGTGTGCCCATTGTACCACCAATATTCGCTCTGCCTAAAGATGGGCTCTTGATTTACTTGTGTGTGTTTCTCACTGGCTCACTGACAACATTATTGGACATGATACTTAACCTTTGTTTGGACTTATGATGCAACGAGAGGAACTGGTCAAGTTAAGCTAGTGACATATTGACTTTGTCACTTGGTTCTCATGCCCTAACTTTTGAAAAATATCGTGTAGCACTGAACCCGTTCATTATAATTATTACTCTTTGGCCAGCCTTTTGTGAGCATGGTGGCAGAAAATGTGTTAACAGATAGAAAGACAGAATGACAGTCACACCTAATATGAGTATCTGTGAGCCTCGCTGGTTAAATGAAAAGCACTAAAGTGCAAACCCTCGGCGAACTACGTACACAGTGCCGCTAATGGGCTAGGCCAGCTATTAGCGTTTACCCGTGGTCTCCCGCTAGTAGGCCGCGGAGAGTCTGACACGGGCTAGCTATGGTATTAGATAGCATTCGGGAGTCGATACACGCACCTTCGTGGTGGCTTCTTGAGCCTCTAAGATCGAGGTCACACGTTGATCGCGTCTGGTATACGCATGCGCACTGCTTATTGATGGGTTGGGCCACGCAACGCGGTCCACGACTGTGCCAGTTTGTCGCTCTCGAACGCAGTCGTTTCAGGAAAATCGCCCTTTTATTTTTCAGGCTCGTGTAGTACTGAAGCCGCTGGTATCGCTAATGGGCCGCCTCGTAGCCTGTAGTTCCAGAATAAGCGTCGACACACACACACACACACACACACAGACAGACAGACAAACCAACTACCGTAACCCTCGCTGCGCATGCGCGCCGAGGGTTAATTATACAACACATATCTCTAGAGTATGCGGTAGCTGTCAAGTTCCCACAGGCCTCTTCAGCGGTTATAATATGAGCTCCTCTCTATGTTTCATAGAGGAGTATATCTAGGGTCATCTCTTCCTTTTAACCCCACCCATTTTCGTTTTTGTCTATACAGTTCCCCTGATTCGTAAGACAGTATTCTATACGCAGCATCTTATTTTGGTTAGAACCTTCAACGTAATTAGCTGTCATGTCATCTGCACTCTATCACTAGGATACTGGGACTGAGCTGATGCCCACTGATATCAAGTTCTATCAACCATTTGGAGGTGAGAAGGTGGTCTTTGAGAAAGAAGAAGTAACTGAGATGAAGAAATTTGGAGAACCAGGTATTTGGCATTTTGAAGTGTTACCCTCGGCACACCATGCATACATGTACGCATGCGCGGCACCACTAATTGGGCTGGACTGCGAGTATATATGTACAATAGTCAAAAATATAATCTTGCCAGCTCGCTTAGAGTCTGACATGGGCTAGCTACACTACTAGATAGCATGCGAGAGTCGATACTCGCCCTGCGTTGCAACTTCTGGTGCCTCCAAGGTACGCAGAGCGAGCGGATCTGGTAGCGGTTACCCTGTGCTAATTTGCATTATAGCTTTTTCAGTTGGTTTTCACGCCATAACTCTCGAATGCAGTAATCTTACGAAATTCGCCAAATTTAAAATAAAGCCAGTGTAGCGCTGAAACTTTTAGTATCACTCTTTTGTTGTCTCGTTGCGTGTAAAAACGGTGTAACACACAGACAGACAGACGGAAACAAACTAATGAACCGAGAACTGTAACCCTCACTGTGGCATGTGCGCCGAGGGTTAATGACAAATACAATGCAAATGTAGTGTTCTAGGAGATTATACATATTGCAGGACTCACATTAATGGGCTTCAAACCAAGATCTCGTGTCAAGAAGCATTGCTACATAAAACCTTCCAACTTCATCTTCCCTGATGAAAGTGTACGTGCTTTGATGTACATAGTATTTTTGATTTTGAGGATTTTGAGGCTCATGCAATTGTGTTTGACACACCCACCATAACACTTTTTTAAAAACGGGTTCAAACGTTCTGTTTTGTAATTCGGAAGCAAAGTTGAGAAGTGTTCAACATTCTCAGACTAAACAGGGTGACCTGAATGGAGGAAAGGAGTTACAGTAACTTCTGGGCTAGATTAATGAGTGGTTTAGTGATCTTAAGGTTGTGCTTTGGAATCAAGGCTAGGCTTCATGGTGAACATTGCAGAGTTCGCGAGTCAGTCCTAGTGTACATTTTTCACTCACTCTCTATTTGCACTCAAGGTTGTCAAAGGCAGCTCAAGCCTATTCAAAGTCCTCTTGGACCGCTGCCTTGCAAGAGACATTGTGGCTATATGTCGCTACATTGCTCGGCAGAATGCACAGCCATTCTTCGTAGCATTGGTTCCTCAAGCAGAGAATTTGGGTGAAAATAATCTACAAGTGGAGTCACCAGGATTTCATGTGGTGTTCCTTCCATTTGCTGAGGATTTTCGGACTCTACATTTTGAGGAGTCCACTAAAGGTGGATCTGATTGGGCATGCTTTCCTATGTACCTACCACATAACAATATCATTGCAATTTCAGCAAATACTGAGCAAATTGACAAAGCCAAGGATATCATCAAGAAGTTGACCTTCAAGTACCAACCTGACTCTTTTGAGAATCCTGGTAGGTAAAATGTTCAAATGACTCAAATCATTGTTCTTTTTCTTAGTTCTTCAGAAGCACTATCGCTATCTAGAAGCTATAGCCCTGGAGCACGACGAAGTGGAGCAAGTGACAGACCTAACTGAGCCGGACATTGAGCGCATCTCTCGCAGGGCTGGCTCACTGCTAGAGGAGTTTAAAGAGTTAGTGTACTCTGATGGATATGATCCTGAACAGAAACCTGGTGCCAAGAGGAAGGTTTGTGTAAACTGCACTGTTAGTTGTTATTAAAAAATTATACTGCTGCATGTGCTGCTGGGTCTAGATTAATGTTTAAGTTCAGGTCAGGCACACATGGGCTAAATGAGGAACTGGGTAGGCATAGGGGGAGGGAGGGGGTGAAGGAGTGCCTGTTGTGTGACGATGAATGTGAAAGTGTGAGTCATGTGTTGTGGGAGTGTCCAGCATATAGTAGTCTTAGGAGCAATTTCTTAGTTGCCCTGCCAGGGAAGCTCGGGGATGGGTTTGAGCATTTCCAGTCGCTTGATAGTTTCAGGAAAACATCCTTTATGAACTATGGGAGGATAAATTTGGTTCTTTGCTTGGCCTTGTTAAAGATTTTATTTTGGATGTTTGGGAGATAAGAAAGGTTAGTTATACGGCGATAGTCCCCGTGTACAACAAACCCAGTCTCAGATTGCGTCTGGGGAGCTGCAGGGTGTCGCTAGTGGAAGGGATGAGTTGAGGTGTCTGGGAGGTGAGACAGACACCTCATGTTCATATGGCGTATGTTCGTTTGTTAACGGTTCCGCCCATTGCTCTGGGTGCATGGTCTATGGCCCTAGTGCTATGGCAGCCACCTGAGTATTATTATTATTACTGCTGCATGTGCATAATTGGAGTGAAGCAAGCCCAACCTATATAGTCGTCTGATGCTCACTTTGCTCACCAAACATTCTTCTAGTATAAACGCGTGTGGAAAAAGCGTGTGAATGCAGGGCAACAGGTCATGGAGCTTCACTTACACACTCAGTGTCGACGATTGGCAACACTGAGATACACTGAGATGATTATTAAAATCTCATTTCAGGCTGCTAGCAATGCCCCCAGTGCTAAGAGACCCAGGAGCTCATCAGAAGATGTTGATGTTGAAGCTGAGGCAAGGAAAGGAAATGTATGTATTTTCTATTTTCTATTCATTACTTCCAATAATTATTTCATTGCCAATGTTTAATTTCCCAGTTGAAGAAGGTTACTGTGCCTGTGCTCAAGGCCTATTTGAAAGGAGTTGGTGTAAGTGCTGGGGGAAAGAAACAAGACCTTATCGATGCAGTGAATGAACACCTTGGATTTTGAGTTGCACATCAAGTTTATTTTATCATACTATAACAGTTAACTCAGCCTGCTATGTCGGGTTATCTTTTGCCTTTTTTCTTAGTATCTGTCTTAGTTTGTCTTGCACTCAATTTCTCTTCCAGCTTCTTGGCTAGCTTTGCTTGTATTTGTGACCTTTTCGTTCCACTGAGGTCGGAAGTCTTACCACCTTGCTTTGCCTCTCGCTGAATATCTTTTCGTGATTGCTGTCTGGCTGCATCTCCACAACCATGTACTTCTGGGAGACTGTGCTCCATGCAGAACCGTTTTTTGCAGAATTGACAGAAAATACCAAGCAAATTTACTTTCTTGGAACACTGAGAAAATTTGCACGTACAATCTGCCAATGTCACTTCTGCAAGCAGTTTATCCAAGTCTTCATGAGTTGGAACACCATGACTTGTTTGAGAAGACCTTTTTCTCGAGGTGTGTTTGGGTTGATGAGCTGTTTTGTTAGTTTCTCTCAATTTGAGGTCAGTACATTTTTCTCTTTCCATTCTTTTTAGGCACTGTATCTGATGTAATTTCCAGTTTTCTTGTAGGATGCCTTTTCTGCACACGTCACATATTTTGCTTTTCGGCCCTAGAAAAAGAGTAACAATGCTAAGCTATTTTCTGTAAATACTTAGTGATAGAATAGCATCCTATTCCACAAAGCAGCATACCCAAGACTTCCTCGTGGGCTATTGGGTCAAGCTCTCTTGCTTCACTGCTATCTGTTGGCAGACTCTTTGCTTCATCTCTGGGTAGACTTTTTGCTTGTGCCATAGTATTATCTTCCTGCACCTTGCGAACTTCTATAAACCGCTCCTTTCCATACCCCTTGCTCACATGTAGCAATCCAAACTGTTCACAAAGCTGTGGTATAGTCATAACTTGTATGAAAATAGGTGCCATTTAATGGTGTCCGTACCTCGTGTACAATCTTTCGCTCATTTCCAGTTAAAGAGCTCGGAAAGGACAAAACTGCAGAATCGCTATCAATGAAAGAGTGGATGGCTTCTTCAAGAGTTACACGTTGATCTTTGCTCTGCAAGTCACTGTGTTTACACAATGAACCTGAATTGTTGTGCATACAGGTGAACATATACCCTACCCGGTGATCGGTGTAGGAGATCCCTCATTTAGAGTGGTGGGGATATATTGTGTGGCAGGCCGAGGTTTGCTCCTGCCAGAATGCGATGTAACTTCATCTTCGTTATATACAGCCTTTTTCTGCTTCTTTGTTTCTTCTGAATTCTTGTTCTGCTTTGGCTCATAACATTGGAAAACCTCAAAATCTGGATCTGAAATGTGATTAAAAGTAGCTTAACCCGGCACAGTAGATGTATACATACCTTGCATATACTCATGAGCACTCCACACTTCACCAACACGATGACAGGTTTCGATCATTCCCTTTATGAAAGGCTCACAAGAGACTGTGTCAGAGTCTCCTATCAGACACAGATGTCTTCGAGCTCTAGTTACTGCCACATTGCTACGTCGCTGCTCCTTAAGGAAACCATACTCACCTAAACACCATAAAAATTTTCTGAATTGACTCTGGGTATTTCACTAATGTGTATTATATATACCTCTGTCATTGGATCTAGTTAGTGATATTATCACTGCCTCCTTCTCTCTTCCTTGAAAGCCATCGACTGTGTGAACCTCCAGAGAATCAGTGGCAGTCGAGCAGATAGTTCGAATTCTCTCTCTGGTTAGCTCAACCTACAAGAAGAGATCATTGATTCACATTACATGTAGCACATACGCACTTGCAAGGAATATGGAGCTATAACAGCAATGTCTTTATCAGGCACTCCACTACTGCGAAGCTTTTTGATGTGATGAAAGACTAGGTCTGCTTCACCTATAAAAGATCATGGGAAAACATGGACATAGATAGCACACAATAGTGGTGACTGATAAGACCACATAGAGGTTAAAACGTGCGCTTTATGAAAAGCACCAAAACTAGCACTACTGAAGAGTATGGCAATAGGTTGTGCAGGTAAAAAAAATTAGATCTTGCACACATGAAATTTTGGTTAGCTAGCTTAAATTCGAAGTTAAGAAGTGCAGACAGGCGGACCTACATATGCATAGTTCATAATCACAATACTGCAGCACTGTTCTTGTCCAACATATCTAGCAGGTACTTTCTATTTCCCCTGTGTTGTACAGACGCAATAACCTTCATTCCCCTTGGATTCAACGTCATCAGTCTCCAGCTCATGAACACCACATCCAGCAGTATCAATGTACACAAGAGCAACAGTTGTCTCTCTTCCATCTCCAACACCTGGCAGGTCCCTGATGATATGAGGCTAAAGTAAGTGTAACGTCACACATCAGGCTTACCTCAGCAAGTGACTGTCCACACTCTCATGAGGGACAAGCAGGTCATCATACAGAGCATGAGATGACCATGCCATGATTTTAGAGTTCATACGATACTGAGTGGTGAGAGTTGATACAACTGGTCCGCCAATCTCCTTAACAACCCGTTCCATCAGACTTAGTGAAAATCCTTTATCACTCGCCCTAGGGAGATAGTCTGCAGTAAACCTTGTGCTTGCTGGCAACAGAGACTTAAACCTACTCCTGGGAGAGAATAGTAGGAGGAAGCTGACAATGGTCTCCAGCTAGAACACAGCGGGGAGCTCTCAGAAGAGGAATCCAGCAGCTTGCTTCAAGTGCCTGACATATTATGCATCATACATAACTGTGTGTCTAGATATTCACTGCGACTGTACCTGGGCACATTCGTCAATTACCACGATATGAAAGTGATCATGGGGCAAAAACCTGCATTGATTTTGAAACAGGTACAAAGAGATTATTTACATTACACATCACCTGAGTGCCCCTTCTGGTGATGCCCCAGTTAAAGTGCACAATATGATATCAGCACGTAATAGAATCTGCTTCAAACATTTCTGACAAACAAGAGTAAACGGGACATAAACTTTACTTAAGTCATTCCTGTAATACACACCTCTTCTCTCTCTTTTAGTTCTGATTTCAGCGTCTTTATCTCAGACCGCAATTTTCTCTTGTCACTGGAACCCCTTGTCTTTCTGCACTGCGACTATTGAAATATTCCAGTTGCAACACTGTCGTATTGCTAGGCTTATTACAAACGTACGTATGCTTTATCAATGTCTTGTCTAACATCCAGTATGATGCCAGCCGAGTCTGAGTTAGCCACCAGTGCATCTAAAGAGTACTGGAGAACAGCGTGTTCTAGTCTTGCAGGGTGGCCTAATCGAACCACCTACACCACACAAAGGCCATAACATTCATGCACAGTGCATTGGACTTGCCTCTGCTTTGGCATATGCCAGTTTCCCAACTAAGTTGTCAACAGCAATATTTGAAGGAGCACAAGCTAGGACCTGTGGTAGTTAATATTGAAAATAGAAGAGGGAAGCCATGATTATACTACAAGGAGTAGTTGGAATAACGTAATATGTGCGCAGTGGCAGTGCCTGTCACATAAACATAAAACGAATAGGCATTGAGACAACTATAGGAATGCAACATATTTTTGGCGACATCACATATCAAAATATATAGAAAATTCCCTCATTGAAACAACTAGTTTCGCTTGCTAATTAGTGAATAAAACATTCAGCATCAACAATAGTATTGAACATACTTTCATCCCCTTCTTGACTGCTTGTAGTATTAACTCCACCAGAGTTGTAGTCTTCCCAGTGCCAGGAGGACCATGTATAACGGCAACATCAGGTCTTGACAGAGCAGACAATACTGCCTTGCGTTGACTGGAGTTCAAGTTACGAGTATGCCATGGGAACTATGTAGATAGAAGTACAACGTTGAGTTAACAAAACTGTGAGAATGGGGGGCACGTGGTGTGCTCACTTTTTCTATCTCTTGTTCCTGGAGTGATGTGTACTCTTGACCAGATGGCAGCAACTGTGCTTCAGAGAAGAGAACTGAAATAAGGTGTAGACACCGCCCACTGGTATACGATTCCAGGGTTTCAAGTACACTAAAAATATAATACAGCACACAATAATTACAAAGTTGTTCCCACCTATAATTTCCAAAAAGTAATTGTGAAGGAACTTGTCACACTGTTGTACATTAACTCAACAAACAATTATTGATAGTTCTACCTTCTAATCCTTCGGTAGGTGACATCATTGGCTAGTTTCACCAACTGTATCATTCCATTGTAGTCCGACAGATCCACAGAGTCAGAGAGATCATCAAACACAACAGAAATCAGGGAACTTGTACTTTTTGTGATGACTCCAGAGATCCTCTGACCAGCAATGGGCTTATTTCCAGACAAAACACCAACAATATCACCTATAACAATTACTACTGTTAGCCACCATAAAACAAGCCCTAAACTGCATACCATTAGTTAATTTATTTGCTGGTAGATGCTTTTCTTGGCGTTTGCGCTTCGCCGTTGCTGATTCAAAGACCAAAACATGTCTTCCATAGAGACCAACCTGTGATGCTAGCCATAAATCAGTGCTTTAACTAACAAACATAGCCACCTTCTGTGAGGAAACTGCGAGAGATTTGAGATCTGAGAGGCTTTGATAACCAGAAGAATTTTCGCTGTGGTCGAGTTCCGCAGCTCTCTCAAGGGAGAGAAGGTGAAGAGAACGAGAGACGAACTCCTCCCTCGCCATCTGCTTTAGCGCATGCGCACTTCGTTCGTCGCATATATACGCATAATAATAATATCGACAAACCCCGTCAGGGTATTATATGTATCATAAATGGGTCCAGTTTCTCAAAAGTATAAGTCCAACTGCAGTCAAGGGTGGAACAGACAACAGACTTGCATATCGCTGCCTCCTCATCCACCTTGCCACCCCAGAAACTTTTATCGCCATTCTCACTGGCCACACTGAGAACACAACTTGCTCAAATTGTTCTGTGACACCATCCTGTGGATAGGGGAGGAGAGCTAGTGCATAGCGTTACACTTTTAAACAGGAACCACAGTATGTATATAGTACCGGGGTTAAAACTGTGTATGACGGCTGCCTCGACTGGACAATGAAGGAGATTATTCGAAGGTTTTCCAATAGTACCAGAAACCTATTGCTGTGTATGATCCTCTCCACACTGCCTTCCAGCATGTCACACATCACCATTCTTGCTGGAACTATTAGCAAGAGTAGCCTATTAACAATCGAACATCAACAAAACTTATACCTTGTTCTGCTATGTTCAAGTACATTTGCACACCAAAGTTCAGACCCCGGTAACTGCATTGAAATTTAAAAAAAACACCTCCATGTGAGGCATTCTGCTTCTAATTTAAAGATACAGACTATTCCTAAAGGATACACATAAGTGGCTAGCTATACATTATTTTCATGTCTGTGAATAATAGGATGATGGAACTATAATCTACCTAGGATGTGTCCAAGCAGTGACAACTTCATAGCAGCTGTCTTTTGCTCTTGGCCTCCACCTGGTGAGTTCGTGTTCAGTGTGGTCTGATTCTTCAGCCAGATCTGAGACTATTTCTCCCACAGCATAGCCAACCATACCCGCTACCTAGATAGGACAGAGTGAAAGACAAGTTCACAACATCTGCTTTTTCACCTACCTGGAAATCACTGCTGATATTCCCCAAATCCTCACATTCTAGTGTCGTGCGGTACACAGAAAGTCACAACTCCAGCAAACACTTTGCCCTTCTTGTCTATTGTCTTTGCTGTTATTGCCGTATCATGGTGCTGACGTCCAAGAAAACTCATGAATTGATGAACAGTTTCACGACCATCCCTTCCTCCTCTATACCTCCATACTCTATGAGCAGAAACACAGTAATGAAGTAATGCATCTATAAAATGTGACATACGTATACCTGTCTTCATTTCTGAATACCCAGTGAATAATCTCTTCTTGGAGCGACTCAGGAAGTGACAGCAATGGGACAGTGAACGTACAATTCTTCAAACAACCACGAATGTGTGGTAGCTGTAGTAGTGAATAAACATTACTAAACACACGTAAAAGTCATTCTCTACCTTTTCATTCAGGAATGAGAGGCTTCCTTTACTCTTCTCAGCCAGGCTCTATAGTTGTGCAATTGAATGATTTGAATTCAAGACACGGTCTGCAAACCTTTAATTCAAGAAACTGCCTGTGATTGGTCACACAGAGGTGTGCTAGGTCTGACAAGGCGTGATCACTCCAATCCTTCAGGGATGCCCTGATTTGGTCTATTAGTGCAGTAACTAGGCACTCCTTGTTGGGAAGAGAGTCAGAACGATCATCAAACGGAAACGGAACCTGAGGAGGCTGTGTGAAATGAGTGAGGTTACATCTGCAGCAGTCACTGCCAAAACTCTCCGTTACATTCTTGATTTTTGAGAAGGTATTTTTCCATCTGTCATAGTCTAGTCCATTTTCAATGACAGTGCTTCTTAAATCTCCAGTATCCACTCCTTCACTCAATACTGAGATATCCACTTGCCCAGAAATCTACCACATATCAGGGAGTAAATTTCAAAGACTAGTAAGGTCTTCCTAACCTGAAGTGTTTCCACCAGACATCTTGTAGCATATCTTGCATCACATGGTCAAACATCATTCCTGCAAGATCCTGGAATCACAGCAATAATCATGACACACAGCCAACTTCAGAAACACACCAAACCTTTGCCATTCTGGATTTCTGTCTCTTGAAGCCTGGTCGGATGGAGTCAGAGGAGAGAGAGAAGCCAGGGTGAAGAACTAGGTCCAGCCCATTGCGGACCTTCTCCGGCCTGCATACGTGGGGCGGTGGTATATACACACATGTATCTAAATTCCTCACTCAACAGTTTTCAATGTGGATTTCTTGTCCACACCGTCATAAAACTCAGAAGTACATACGTACCTATGATCATAGTATGTTCTCCACTCAGAGGAGAAGTCATGTTCGCAGGTTAGAATTCCACCTGTCAATTCAGGCTGGACACTCCTATGGAATGGACAGTTAAACTTATCTCAGTCATATCAAGAACGTGAAGAATAATGTAACCCCTAAGCAAATGACTACCATCATAATGGAAGTTTTTTGCTGCTGCAGTTGCATGTGTAAGTAGGGCCACAATTAACTCTCGCTTTGCAAAAAAATAATACTCAGGTGGCTGCCATAGCACTAGGGCCATAGACCACGCATCCAGAGCAAAGGGCGGAACCGTTAACAAACGAACATACCCATATACACATGCGGTGTCTGTCTCACCGATCCCCGACACCTCAACTCACCTCTGCACCAGCGCTGCAGCTCCCCTGACGCAATCTTAGACTGGTCTTTGTACTTGTGATAATCTCCATAATACGACTCTTAGCTCCACATCCTAAATAAAACCTTTTACAGGCCAGCAAAATAACAAATTATCCTTCCACAGTCTCACTACCCAATTAAGGCTTCTTTCCTGAACTAGCAAGCGAACTGACATGCTCAACCCATCATCAAAGCTTCCCCTGCAGGCACTAGATAATGCTCCTAAGACTACTATATGCTGGACATCTCCCACAAACAGCATGACTCACTACTTTGCACATCATCATCACACACAGGCACTCCTTCACGCCCTCCTATCACCCCTATGCTACTGAGTTCCTTATTAGCCCTGCGTGCTGACCTGAACTTAAACATTATCTAGACCCAGCATCACTTTTCCCATGCAAGTACTTTTTGAACTCTACCACCTTGTTAAATGTCTTATACAATTACAGCTTTACTTTGCTATTTAGCCCCTCTTCAAACTTTCTAATCTCACTCTCATTAATACTGTCCCCTACTATAGACAAAAAGCCTTCAAGGAGCAATCCCCATTTTGAATATCATGCAACCGCTCTGCCTTTGCAAAAGCCGTTTAATCATGAGCACTATACTGTGGGTTTTTCAGCTAGGAAGTTCAAAGATGTAAACAAAGGGAGCTTGACTTGCCCGAAAGACACACTACTTCTGGATTTAAGTATACACACAAAGTTATTGCAGAACTGTTGAAGTCCTAACTGAGAAGATACCAACATCACAGGCTTCCAGTTAGCTTTCCACACTTCACCCTCACACTACATACAAGGTCGTCTAATGGAAGCATGAATGCAAAATATTTATTGCTGTTACTAACAACACTGGTAGTGTATGGCAGAACAAAGAATAGTTCGCGTCTTTCTGTAAAATATGGGCAGTGGTGGGCTGGATGTAAGACAGATGACCACTGACTGTTACCTGCACCCAGTGTTTACAGTATAACGAATACGACACATTTTTGGGGAGAGAAGCAATCTTGGAACGCTTTACATGATGTTTGCGCAAGCGCATTGTCATGCGCAGAATCATCAACCACGTAATTCATGGAAATAGGTGGGTCAAATTTATATAGCTAAAGAGCTTGGCTAGTACTCAACAAACAAATTTGTCTGATCGCTTGCACTTAAGAATGACTACAGATCTAGAAGAAGACGTTCATTGAAGAGAAGGTTTACCTTCTAATGGATTCCCATGTCCTCTGGTTAGGGTAGGACTGAGGGACAATGACAGCAGGCACTAGATTAGATGGCTCAGCTAGGAGTGCAGTGAAGATATTCACCCACACCTGCAGGGTGGTGAGGGATACACAGGCTTCTTGTTAGAGGGGAAACAAGTTTATATTAACAGAATACCACAGCAATTACACGACTTGTCCTCTATTACACACGACACAAGGGGTCACAGAAGTATGTTTAGTTGTCAGCTCTGTGTAAGTAGCTCAGTTGCTACCAATACTGCGTCATCTCTGCCATAGCCAAGCTATAAACCTCAGCCAAGTGTTATACTCGTAAATTAAGCACTCGAGTTGTTTCACGGCAGGAAATGGCCACTGATTTTGAATTCAAGAAAAAGCTAGTACATGATTTCACTGTTGTATCTCATGTTGAGTACTTGTAGTGATGCAAAGTTGGCTATACTTTTACGAAACGATCATCAATAGCACAGTTTGTCAAAATGACTAGTCAGTGATCTCCCCAGAGGGTTTTGGTGTCAGGCTCCCCTACACCTGTTTCCTTATTATTGTAATGCCCTAAACCTTCATCTGCATGATCTACATCTTGCATGCAGTGTGTACACAAGTATACACGGGGGTATATTATACAAGCTGAGGGCATGCTCTGTGTGTTAGTCAACGTTTAGTTTGATTGTAGCCAATCTAAAATTCATCCTCTGCAGGGCATTGCTCTGTGTGTTGTGTAGGAAGCAAAATAGGTGTCAAAAGTAGGCTCTTTCTGAACAAAAGCCAGGGTTTGGCGGGAGCCACATCGTATGAAAATCCTGGGGAGAACACTGCTAGTATTTGAGCCGTCTCACTTGGGATGTATCGTAGGGATGACCATTGGAGTATGCCTTGAACAGGTATGCTCCTAAATAAACAAAGTAAGGTGTTTGTCTGTTAGAATATCCTTGCATGTATGTATATATACCTTCAGGGGTAAAGAGTATTTCAGCATTCTCAATTTCCAAGCCAGTTTCATCATAAATAGAAGCAATAGCACTGTCGGTGCGAATACCAATCTACAAACAAGATGATGTTAGTTAGTTAGCAGCAAGTTGCACGTTTACAAACACACACATACCAACCTCTAGTGGTCTCTCACAGTGTTCACCATTTGGAGCATAACAGCCAATTATTTGTGCACCACAGCACCTGTAACAGGTTCCAAACGGTCATAAGAACACTCTTTCCAGCATAAATATATACCTGGCACAGTCCAAAAACTGTGTGTTTAAAGCAATAGTGAATGTTTTTGGTTTCACTGGGGCTTTACCCTGTAGAAAATACAAGTGTTCTCATCCAGTGATGTATTGCATAAAAGAAATTCACTGCCCATATATCTGTGACCAGGAAGGTGATTGAGTAACATAGACACTACCTGTTTTGCAAAGTCTTCCTCAATCTTATCTTCCTTTGTGAGAAGAGAAATCTTCTTTTCGTGAAAATACCCTTCTATTTCTTTCCCTAGCTTGTTGTCAATCAATTTAACTGCGATAGCTCTGCGCCCCTATAGATATATGGTCAGATAATAGATATACGCATCACTCTTAGCATGCAAGGTATCCTACCTTGAGTTCAGTAAGAGAGAGTTGCTCATCAAATAGCTCATTGGACTTTACTAGTTCACCATCAACTGACACCTAACACAGTAAGACAATTTAATGAAGGATATATAGAAGTTCTTGTGTGTAAGACATCTAGTTTAGGTACATGAGTGATGGCCATGTGCAAATGTTATGGAGGGTAAGCAACGTGAAACTGCCTTGAAACGGAGGGATGATAAGGCGAACGCAATATGTGACAGCGTTCTGGCTATTCGAATGTTTCCTCTCCGATGCTGTGCGAGCCGTTCTGTCTAACAACAAAAAGTAGGTGTCAAGCTGGGAACCAGGAGACAGATGGCGTACTGACTAAATTCCACTTACCAAAAAAATATGTGGGGAAGGCTCCTAAGAGAGACTTACCCCCCCCAGGAGGATATCTGGGACAACTGATAACACTGGCATACATAAATCCCACAAATCTGGTGCGGGGCTGTAAGTCGGGCACATATCAAATCGGTTGACTTATGCTCTCTAGCCTAGTTCCATCACCGCGCGCTAACCACATTTCGTACACGAAAAATAATCGATCAAATACACCACACCCTCATCCTTCTCAAATCAGCAGAGCCTTGTAGCAGGTGGGTTCACCGGGGCGCAAAATAACTGCCCCGTGGTGCAGCGCATCTTGGGCACAGATCCCCAAGGCTACATCAGCCGTGAGGAACAAATGTGCAAGAGAAACCACCTCAGAGACGCAATGTGCTTCACAAAGGAGCATGTGGCGTATGGGGCTGGGAGGCGGTTTTATGGTATAACGTCAGGTTAGTCCATAATCCCGCGAACTCTTGGCACCTAAGATATATGTTTGGATGAGCTGCACGATGAAGTTGGTCATTAAGAGTTAGCGATAACGCGACTCCACACCTACTGGTAGTTTTAACACAAGCGCAAGTTCATATAAAAATTCCAATATTACCAAAGAAACAACATTTGTTCGGACGTCAGCTCCTTTTCCCGATGGATGACAGACTTGATTTTGGTGCTGCGGTCTTGAGGCATCAAAATAGGGGGAGTTCCTCTCGGAGCCCGACTGAGCTCTGCCATGTCGATTGTGCGAGATTGTGGTCCCAGATAGTCTAAGCTATTCACGGAATACGATTCAAGGGGGGGTCGAATTCCACACGTGCATTAACAATGACTATTCCCCCACTTACAGATCTTTGCGGTTATTATCTGATATAAGAAATACCAGTACTACGTTAGTTCAGGACTCCATAAAACAATTATGAGGGGTGTAAAAGTTTAAAAACCTAAGTAGTAGATTTCGGAGATGAAGAAAATAAGCCAGAGGTTGGAAGATGTAAGAGTTAAAAATACAATACAGAAAGAATTTGTGCGAAGGAGAAAGGCGGCGTGGCTCTTAGAAGGGGGTGCAAATGTATTTGCGCGGGTTATTGTGGATTAATGTAGGGTGGCAGTTGCAGGGTGGCAGTTGGTGAAAGGCTCAATCATAAAGAAAAAATCCTAGCCATATCCGGAGATTAAAGGGTGCATCACAGGAAGTGCAAAATCGTAAAGCACACAAAGTTGGCACTGTTTGTGGCACGGGGTCTGTAGAATAGAGCGTGTGGGCATT